TAATTAGAACCGGAGGAGTATATAAATATAAATGTAAAGTATTAATGGATGGACATAGATAGATTGTAAGAAATGGATATCTGTGAAATTGTGACAGTCAGGCGAGCAACAGAAGGAAAAAAGTAAATCTGAATTAAGATATTATGGCAAGAAAACTGAAATAGGATATTCACCCCAACCAAAAAAAAAAAAAAAGCTAAATAAGGGACAAATGAATTGTTAGTTTCTTACTTTTCTTTTCGGACAAAAAATTGTTACCTTTCTTTCTGGTTGTGTTCATCCTTATCTAATTTTATTTTGCATTTTTATTTGTTTTTGATCCTATTGAAATTTTTTTTACCAAAAGTTTTTATTTTTGAGGAGAGTCTGTAAATTTCTTTCTTTTTGTTTGGGAAATTAAGGCGTTAGGTTGGTGTTTAGCTGGCAAAACACAAACCGTCAGATTAAGTTCAGAGCTTTGATCGCATCATCCGAACCTGAACTGAATTTAACGATCGAAATTAAAAACAGCAACAAGACAGGAGGCTCTTAGGGAGGACATATTTTCCGTTTTGGGGCTCCCACACACCTACCTCATCAGAAATTTCGTATATTATTTTTTTTCACCAAGAGAAATTTCATATAATTTTTTTTTTAAACCTGAGACAACTTTTATATGTGAGATAACTCAAAAAGGAAATTTTTTTAAAATACACTAAAAATTTATAGCTGAACTTATAAGAGTTTTACGTATTATAGAATACGAATATCATACATTTTTCATAATTTAAAGTATATTAATTCTCAACAAATAAAATATAAAAAATTGAATTTTTTTATTCATATGGAAGAAGAGAAAATTCTTACTACTATTTTTCATAACCTGAACTATTTAGATCACTATATTTAAACAATGTATATTTTAATTTAATGCTTAATTCTAAATTTTTAATTAATTAAACAAAATCAAATTTAAAAAAAAAAAAAAAGAAATAAAAAGAAAGAAGAACAACAGTTACCCCAATGACACTCAAACAGTGATTGGTTGATGACAGAAGGGAATGAACGAAGAGGAAAGGTCAGAATTGGATGGTGGGCCCAATTCTGAAGAAGAGTCAACAACTCGTGGGACCCATACCTTCCGATGGACCCCACCTACATGATTCCTTATATATAATCGCTTTCTTCCGCGTACGCTGTTCTGTTCTGCTCTCTCTTTGAATCTTTTTTCTTTCTTTAAATAAAAACTACTATAAAATTACTTAATCCAAAACATTGTGTCTGGAAAGAAATATTCCAACCACGAAATTAATGAGCCAGGAAAATGCCAAAAAAAAAAAAGACAAAAAAAATATAAAGGTTCCCAAAATAAAATGGTGGGTCAGGGGTGAGTCCCTTTTTAATATTTTATTACAAACACTTTAAAATTATGTGCTTGCATCAGTTGCATGCCAGGAGAACAAATTTTTGTCGGGTGCTATACAGAATAAATTTAAAAAAATGCAAATGGGCTAGTTGTTCAATAAATTTAGCATTCTCGTCCAACAACTTCTATGTTGTGTGTTAGTAATCATGGGAAGTTGGGGAACCTTAGGACTTTGTTGTTTGAAATGAAAAATCATATTCCAACTTTTGTATATAAATGATGACACTTATAAATTACTCAACCCAGTCATAACACAAGTCTTTTTCAATCAACTTGACTTGTGTAAAATATAAGCCCAGTTTGATAATGCATAAAGTATCTGCTTTTTTTTTGGGCCCTTGTATATAATTAAACTTTGTAAGTAATTAATTTATTATAAATAATACTAATTCTAATCCTTAATATAAGAGCTTGTTTGACTTTTATTTTGATCTTAAATATGAGACTTCAATTCATCTTGTTTTTCATATTTATCCTCTTTTTTTTCAAGATATTTCTTACAATAGTAATAATTCTACCCAATACACTTAATTAGCAATAATATTTTAAAAACAACAACACGTATTTATTACAAATAATTAACTTAACTAGTTTTCTTAATTTACTCACATTAATTAATCAGTTCTTATATTAAGGACGAGAGGTGATATAATGGTATATTTCAAAAGTTTAATTTTGTTGACATATTTAATCATATAACTGCCCTTTGACTACCGTTTTTGTTCCATATTCGGTAGTCAAATCAAACTTATATTGCTGAGAGGAGGAATATTGCATTTACAACAACTTGTGAGACTTGCTTCCTGTGAATTCAAATAGAAATTAATTGATCTTAACGAATAAATACATGGCTGGGCCATAACAATACGTCAAACATGCTTCTGAAAGATTTATTTTAGATTTCTCAGACAGGGTAAATGCAGAGGTAATATATGGATGAAGAAACATAATAAAGGAAAGAATATTCTGCACATTTCCAATGTGGTGTGATTGTACAAAACGAATACCAACCAATACATTATCCTACAAACAACAGTTCCCCAATTCAATGGACCTGAAATGTAACATAGCAATCTCATGAACTATCCTATAATTCACCATCATGGCATCAAATCAATATATGGTCAAGGTAAAAATTGGGTGCTAACAAAAATTTAAATAGCTAAATAATGAAGAGGGTAAAGAAAAAAGCTGTGCTAGAGGGGGGGGGGATCTCAACAAATAAATGTCCTAGCATGCTGTTTTTAGAACCAACCATGACACAGGTTTCAGCTTTCTCCATCTTCATATTCACTTCCTTCAATATTCTCTATTGTCCCTCACAGAAGATCGATAGTAGTATTCTCTCTTTCTCCAACTAGAACCAGAATTAGAGGTGGCATTGTTGCTGTGTCACCATCTGAACTTGTTGCTTAAGAGCATGTCAGGATGGTACCATATCTGCAAAAACGTTGGGATGCCAGCAAAATACACCCACAATGCTTTAAATGTCTTGGCCTTTCAACCAACTTTCTTCTATCTCCCTTCTCAAATTCATGTCCAATAAAAACTCAAGCCGCAAAAACCTGTATTACTTTGTATCTCTTCGGTTCTATACATATATATATATATATATATATATCTCATACCATAGCTTCTTGCTCCTCAGCTATGACTCCAAGATGTGACAGGTCCTTACAAAATCATTAGAATAATTAACATACTTGGTCCAAAATGGCCGAAGATGATCAAAGCCAATTTGCAACCAGGGCTTTGACTGGCCATTATAGTGGATAACTGCAGCCTTTTTCACGTCCTCGATACTGGTTTTATTTTGATAACCCAAGCCAAGCAGGTGCCAGGAGGGGTCAATGGGATGAACATGACCTCTAAACGCAATCAAAGCAGGTGGTAGGGTTCCAAGCTTCCAAATTGTCAGGTTTGACATCAGATTCTGCCATACAGAAGCCGTTAACAACGCCCAGAACATTTTTACCAAGAAAACAAAAGGCCCCTCTACCCAATATAACACCATACTCAGATGCAGCTACGTCAATGTTTTGGTTCAAGTGTGAAAAAGAAATTATGTTATTCAAGTGGCATTTACCCGATGCTATCAATTTTGTGCCTCAAAATTAGCATAAAATCAGCCCCTGGGCTTCTTGAGAATATTAATCAAATAGAGTAAATTTGTATCATTCTGGACATTAAACAAATGGAATAAAAGACCATAACAGATAAAATGTTAAATTTCCCTAAGTCTGACTGTATGGACTTTTACCTCTTTGAGCCAGGAATGATACGTTTCTCTTATATTTGTGTTCCTCCATGCACGCAGATCAAAGACATTCATCCCATAAGCCCATGCACACTCATCAGGGTCCAAATGATTTGCAATGAGGGGATGGGAAAAATTGAAGTAATTTCGGAAACGCTTAGACATCACCCACTCGTCTTCACCTCTGCAAGTTTCCACAGCTCCATTAACTTTCCCTTCAAGATCAATTTCCCAAAGTGGAGACAAGTCACGCTGGACAACAATATCATCATCTAAAAAAACCACCTTGTCAAGGTTTGGGAAAAGCTGTTTGCACACATAAGACACATAATCAGCATCAACATGTTTAATAGGAGCCAATATTTTAGATAAAGAAAAAGAATATAAGCATGAAACAAAAGTATAAAGATCTTCTTTAAAGATATACAAGTAATCCATAAAGCAGTGACAATGGTACAGTGCATACACAAATATATACATTAATAAATATATCAAATAAAAAATCTATCAAAGAACTTAAAAGAAGGCTCATATATAAGGTTGTAGGTATAAACCATCTCAGCGTGTGTTATACTTAACCTAATCTCTTTAAACTTCCTATTCAATGAGCGCCTTTGAATAAGAATAAGATCAATATCAACCCATATTTAAAGCACCTTTCACTGTTACTTTCCAAAAATGCTGCTAAATAAAATGGAGGGAAAATCACACAAAAAGACCCTGAAAATTGAAAAATTGCACACAGGGCTCCATTCACAGAAATTGCTGTCAAAACTCATACTATTGTTGTCAAAACTCATATTAATGTTGTCCCAGTCCCTATTTGCAATTGTTCTATTTCGGCAGTCTTTTTTTGCGATTTTTCCTAAAATGAATGTTAAATTATGCAATTGCAAGTTCAAACTGCTCACAGTGTAGCGAAAATATTATAAGCAGTTAAAAAAGGAAAATGATAAAAAATAACTTCCATGAAATCATCAAGATGGACCATTTAATCTTTTATTTCATCCCTTCTATATGGCTTATTTTTTCCTTTTCGTTTTGCCAGCTAAATCCAAGAAGGGAAAGAAAATCATATTGACATGTTATAATCTATAAATGCATATCAGACAATTGTTGTCAGGGTGTCATGGTAATGACTGCTAGAAGCCCGAGTAAGGAGAGTTGAACAGATGGATTTTAGCCTTATGAATAGAGGAAGAGGGAGACTAAGAAAGGCACTTGAGGAAGTTACAGAATGGGATCACATGGCAAACAATATATTTGGATAGATAGTTAATGATAGATTACAATGGTGTCCTGTGATTTATGTAACTAACGCCACCTAGTGAGATAGGACTTGTTATGCTTGTGTAAAATTTGTGTGTGCCATTCATGTTTTGTTGTGCATGTTATGGCAGAAAAATCAGCAAATGTTCATTGGGCCTGGGCCCCGGCACCGCCCGAGGGGGTGGTTGAAGGAGGCTTCATGTTAGAAAAGGGATGTAATTTAGATGACTTAAAGAGAATTATTGTGTTGATGTTCCATTCCCAGAAAATAAAATCTCACAATAATCCAAGGATAGGAAGAGTTGTCAATTAAATTTAACTTACCTCTGGTATGTATATACGTAGATGATTGAGTAACGAGATGTACTTTGGACTTCTGGACATCAATTTTGAAGCAAATGTACGTGGAGTTGTTTCACTGAGATTGGCTCCTGCTACATGATTTCCATGGTAGTAATCCCGAATCCCATTTTGATTTTCTACAGCTTCAAGAACTGGAACATTTTCTCTACTCAACCAGTCAAACTGGTGAATGCCTCTGACTTCAACAATAGCAGGGGAGACAGAATTTAGTGCAAACCATGAATGCATGCCCGCATAAGTTTTCTTGTCAGTGATGACATGGAACACGATCTTCTCAGGCTTTAGAGAAGACTGTACAGTGGAAGTTACTACTACTGAAGCAGCCAAGATGTTATCAGTTGACAGAATGAAATGGTAGTAAGAGTTATCAGACAGTAAAGGAAGTAACTCAGGAGAAGGCAATTGTTTACGAGCATGGGCATTTGACGAGTACTCATCAGTCAATCGCAAGGAAAGACAATAAATTCCTTTAGGGATTGAACTTGCTGCAAAGTGTTTATTCATAAGCTCTGCAAACTTAGACTCTCTGATATCTCTTTCAAATTTCTCCATCTGTTCAAAAGCAAACCAAAGATACAAACATTGAGTACACAAGCCTTTTATTCAACCCAATATAATTTGCATCCTTGCAACATACATCAAGAATAAAGCATACACTAATGCAATGTTATAATTTTATATGCACCTTCTATCAGTCTTACATTATTTGAATCATTCAATTAAATTTACACATTACATCATAACTGAGAGATTTGTCATCAATTGGTAATGCATTTTGTAAGTAGCTCTTTCCTCAATCTCTCTTTTAGGACCACATAAATCATAAAAAACTGCACTCTAATTGCTCTAAACCTTAACCGTCTTTGCCATGTCTCTATATCATAATATTATTTTATGGAATTTCTTAGTTGAAAAAGTTAAAGGTTCTCTATAGTCCTCTTGACTAGCAACCAGAGGTTCCATAAAAGTGAACACAACATAGTAAACTGTCTCCATCCTCCATAAACCCAGATAGTGAGTTGACCGAAAAATAAATAAATAAACCCATCTAGGGGAAGTAATCACAACCAAGATTATATACACAATATTAATGTCAGCGTAAAAATTACAGAACCGATGGTTATGGAACATGAATGACTAACATATGTCTTTGTAATAGTAATCTTCATATTTATGGTGAAATATCCATGATTGAGAGCTTATGACATTTTGTCAGTAATCAAAAGCAAGATTATAAGCATAATAATTAGTGTCAGTGTAAAAATTATAGTTATCAAAGTGATGGTTGTGGACATGAATAGCAATGTCTTCATAAAAGTAATATTAATAATTATGGTCAAGCAGCCAAGATTTAGAGCTTTATGGGATTACATCATGATCGTCAAAGAAACATCACCAGAAGCAATAAAACTAAGCCTTTCCCAGCAAAGGTGCATACACAACACACAAAATTAAGCATAAAGGCAAAATATTCAGTTTTCCTGTTAAAATTCCTCCTTAACCATAGAATGAATTTTGGTTGAGCAATTTTTCCTTTCAACATTCTTGACTGTCAATTACCAGATTGAGAAGTACAATATAAGGCCCACTCCTACGTTCAAATTAATGATGATACAAGAAAAAGTCATACGATGCAAAAGGGTAACAATCTCTCTAGCAATTTAGTAGGGTGGAGACTACCGGTTATATCTAGAAAACAGCTTTTGCCATAGGCAATTAGGCTTTAGGCAAAGCCATCTGAGCTCAAAATAAATGAGCATTATACCATTCAAGTTGGGCTTAGGTAGTTGGATAACTGAAGGGTAGGATAAAAGGTTGCAACTTCAATTTTTTCTTGTACCAAATAATTATATAAGTATAGACATTCAGAATCTAGAGATGTCTGTTGCTGGATTGTTGTTTACCCAGAGACAGTTGTGTCATCGTGATTAAAATTTCTTTGCTGAAAGTTAGTTATAGTTTAAACTGTGCATCAGCTATCCAAACCACATGACCTTCATAATATTCATATTTTGGCAAGGACATATGCACCTAAAAAATCATCAATCATAGTGGCTTGAAATTAATACGACTACAAAGGAAACTCCATTTCTCCATATACAATGCAAAAGCCACCTCGTAAGCAGCAGGCCCATGGCATCAACAGTAAAATTCAATAATGAAGCAACAATGGTAGACTTCAGTTTAAGCCATCAGACATAAGGTGCAGCAACACTGTTATGACTTCAGTTTAATAACCCACTCCCTAAATATAAGACCCTTTTTGTAGTGTGTATAAGGGTCTTATATTTAGAACTGGAGGAGTAACTTAGAAAAGCATAGTGCAGTATATCCCCATAACAAGCTTACCATTCCCCTTAAGATGAATGCAAACATCTTTGCATCATAGTGATTGCTATTCATATTAGAAACCAGGTGTTCAAATGAATCTGGCAGTGTTAGACCAGCTGGGATTTCCCCAGACTTCACTTCGTTTAGGATTTTGTAAAAGTCTCTGACCAACCGCTGCTGCATCATCACCACAATCACAAAAGGGGGTCAGATAACCTTTCCTACCCAACGTTTCATAAATATAGTAATGTAATATAAAATTAATATGAAGTGACATATAAAACGGATTACCCCTGAATTATCAACTCTACTGAGAAACCTTGGTCCTAACCGCCTGCCTAAACAACCTGGAGAACAAAAGAGGACACGATTAAGTATCTAAATTCTACAATTGGGCAAAGGCAAGACATATTAAGGATACGGGAATGATGTTTGAGACCTTCTTGAGTAAACTAGAGTAAGCTGCAAGTGAATGAAGTTCAAAAAAGATACAAAATAGATAACGAAATTTTTTCACCAATGAGTAACTGAGAACAGGATGATGACTTATAAATTAGCAAATATTATACCAAAACTTAAAAATTCGTAATTCCTCAAGACAGTTTAAGTCCAATATATCTCAATTCATATGAATCTTTTAAAATGAAAGACTCAGCTTACAAATTTAAGCAATACATGTTTCCAAGTCATGACAACATATTGACCGCTGATTTAGAGTTCAAGTGCAGTCAAACTACAAGCGGAACGCTTAAAATATGTAGTCATACTTCAGATCCTACACTAAAATTTTACAACTCCAGCATGACGTAAGCTGCCCAATGACATCAATCCAGATCCTTAATTTTTAAAAATCAATAAATCAGAAAAAGAAAGATGCCACAGTTCAGCCTATGTTCAAACCGAGATCTATCACAAACGAACAAATAATCAACAAATAGCATGAAAACGATCAAAGTATTAAAACTCAAAGGTAAGAAAACAAATGTGAAGTTCATAATGGAGTACCAAATGAGGAGCACTTGTTGACACCTTCAAGGGTAACGACAGCAGTGAGAATGAAGACAAAAGGCAATAAGAACGCTAAGATGAGGATGGTGTGAAAGAGGGTTCGATAAGAAATGTGGCGAGCTGCGACCTTGATCTTCATTAAGTCAATAAAGCCATTGCTGCTCGATATCGTGATACTTCTCATGCTAGGCGAGAAGTGAAGCTGCATCGTCGTGTATGCAGCCCCAGGTCGTTGCCGAGCACAACAACCCTAGGAGAGTCGCCAGGACTGAATATACCGACAATCAGCCATGGCCTTAAAACACAAACCATCAGATCCGAACCCAAATGCGCAAATCAACCACTGGCAATGCCTCTGTGATTGAAACCGAGATTGCAAGTATAATTTAGATCTATATATCCGGGTTCTGCTCAAATCTGTATTTTTCTGGGGTCTTTTGGCAGACCGCATTGGAGTGATCACAATTGGGTTTTGGTGGAATCAATCACAAAATGCAAAAAAAGCAATCCAGTTTCTACGTTGTGACGATCCCACGTCCCATGGATCAAGAGCGAAGAGAAGAAATCTGTGTCCCGTCTCTGATGGTTGTGTTTGTGCAGTACTCGTTCCGTTTGTGGGGAGCTTTGTGATTGGACGGATCTACAATTTAGTTTTCCGGAAAAAATATGAAAAAGGAGAGATGACGAGCTTTAAGAGTCAAACTCAAAACCGTGTTGGATTTAGATGAGAGAGAGAGAATGCAGAGAGGAGAGAGAAAGGAAGCCTGGGCTTGTGTTTGACCATGAGATTAGGGAATAGGCCAATAGGGACATGACCTGGGAGCTATGTTTAGAAGCCTCCTATGTTTATGGCCAATTCTTATTCTTAAGTGAATAGTATTCCAAGGAATTGATCGTTATTTTTAGTTAATCTGTCTTATCCTTTTTAGCATAACCTAGAGTAACAAGTTGAAATGGAAAGGAAAATAGCGTCTAAATTTATGTATTGTTAATTATTTTATTTTTGAATCTACTAGCAGATGTTTTAGTGTGGTAAATTTTAAACTTAATATATTATATTTACTCATTGAAATTACAATAATTTTTAGGGGAAATTACTAAAAGTCTCAAGAAAAAAAGAGATTTAATTATCAAAAGGTCCATTAACAACTAAAAAGTATGTAATGTTACTTGTTATTTAAAATTTTTAGTAATTAAATTTTTTTAAGACTTTATGATAATTCTCCTTAATTTTTTTTTTTTAAGAGGAACTTCAACATGAGATCATTTAGCTTTTCATCTAATCAATGCTCCCTTCACTTTTAAATATATGAGTTAAATAATTAACTTGTAAATATTAAAAATTAGATGTGTTTGTAAAAATGTGTATTATATAATCATTTGTACTGAAAATTAATACTCCTTCGATTCTTAATATAAAACCTATTTAACTAATTTGATTAGATTAAGGAGTTATGTAAGTTAGTTAATTATAAGAAATGCGACATATTTTTTCTAAAACACGATAATTATCTTTCTTAATATCCTTTTTTCCTCACTTACTTGATTATGGTTGAAGGAGTATTCATATGGGTAATTTAGAAAAAAAATAGTAAATATGAGAAATATGTGTTATATTTAGGACCAAAATTAAGTTAATAATTAAGTTATATATTAAAAATTGGAGGAGTACTATTGTTAGTATAAATTTTCTTGCAATTAGCAAGGAATAGTTTGAAACAAGATTATAATTCTTAAACACAAATTGAATTGATTTTTTATGTTTAATATAAAAACAGTTGTCTCAAATAATTCATACATTTAAATTGAGAAATTAATATATATTGATTCATAAAAAGTCAAATTATTTATAAATATTAAGCAGCATATCCCATTTTATTAATTACATAAATGAATTTATCAGCATAATTGGTCGTTCAGTGGAATCGATTTTGAATTTTACTGGATCATATGCAAACAAAAATGTCATCAAGTATGCTTGCACAATTGGCTAGAAGATGGAAAACAAATTCGATTTTTTTTTTAATCTATTATTAGTGTATTGACATAATCTAATAAGGGTAAAAAGATAGAAAATATTGTATTAGAAAAGGATGGCATGATAAAATAAAATGATGCAATACTCATTTCCAAAATGGCATTCTTTTATTTATTTTTTTCAATAGGCATATTGACTTATTTCTCAATACAATGAAGCTATAGTATTTGTTTGATATCCCTTGTATAAGTATTTACAAGTATATTTCACATAAGATGAATTTCAAATATTTACCTTGTATTTCGTAAATTAAAATTAAAACAGACCAATAACGAAATTAATCAATATTTTTTATTACTCTGTCTCGAAGGACATCAAAATAATTAATGACAAAAAAAATCTATTATTATGAACCAGACTTAATCTTTTGTCCCCTGAAAAATAGTACAAGACATATTTTCCTTCTAAATTGAACTAGCGGAAGGATCAAAAATAGGAAAATCCCTCCCACTTGATGGGGATGTTCAAATACCCATAAAAGAATCACCAAGCTGTGGCCTGAACTCCAGCTTTTGTTTTCCATTAACGAGGAGCCAAGCCGCGGCTAAAGCTTCAGATATTGAGTGGCAGATCTGTTTTGGATTTGGAACCCACAGGGACAATAAAGTACTAGCATACAAGGAAACCATGTCTGCAGCCGATGAGTCATGCTCTGCGTCTAGTCGTGGAAACCATTGCATTGAGCACATCACAGCCATCCCTTAGAACTTCGCAGTTGCGGTCATTAGTCAAATACAATTTCAAATTTGAAGTTTTCAACTAATGCCTTTTAAATATTTTTTTTTTTGAAAAACTGACAAATATGTTTATTTTAGATTCTATACATATCAAAATAATTTTTTATAAAGACAAAAATTTAAAAAAAATAAATTTGAACGATCCAGATGTTGGTGCCCATCAGTTTAAGGAGTACAAAAACCACATCTACTACGTGTTATCACCCCAATTCTCCTTTTCAATGGTAGTCTATGGCAGCAAACATGCAGGCTTTGGCACTTCATCACCACTACAGAAAATCTCTTGCTGACTTTTATGATGTCACACAAATCCAACCTCAGTCTAATTCCACAAGGTCTTGCTTCCATACCCAATGACTAAGAGCAGTGTGTGCTCATTAAAATGGACCATCTCATTCTACATATAACGGAAACTTCTCCACATGACAAGGTATTCCGTATATAAATGTACTTTGAAATTAGGACAGGCCATACATGTGACCAAGAGGAGCCTCTCCATTAGTATATGAAGGCAAAGCATTGCAGGTCCACTTCATAGAACATGTGTATGGTCCAATTAAGTAATAGCTGCTACAGAATTGCCAACTGCGGTGAAGCAATAACCAACAAGATGAGGTTGATCTCCATTGCAGGCCAACAGTTTGGATTCTCTCCCCAGCTGCATGCTGTGTAGTGGGACAAAAAGTAAGTATTAGGTCTCATTTGTATGGGTATCCACAGACGCACTCGTGTTCACACACACACGCACACCCCTCTTCAGGTATGTCCAGTTTGAAGATCCACCGCAACCAAAGGGATCATCATTTACTACTAAACTTCAAGCGAAGAGTCTCATCGATCAATCAAGCTCTTATTTTAATGGTTTGTTCAGAAGAATGTTGTGATTTCTACCATTAAACCGCAGTTAATGTATGGTTTAATTTATGCTGAGATGACCAAAATATTCTTGGTAGTTTGTTTGTTTGTTTTTTTTAATAATCTTTTCTACCATTCCAAATTGAATAAATTTGTCTATGAAGTGAATAAAAGTTGGAAAGTCATTTTGGTCACTGCATCTACGGGTAAATCAGTTGCAGCTTGATTCTTGTGAAGCGTAAATTGTAGGGCCTTAGACAGACCGCTGCACTACAGTGAACCAATCACCACCAGAGGTTAGAAGGTATAGATAGTGGGAGGATTGAACACCATTAAACTATAGACAATTTCACTACAGTGAACATATCACCAATGGTATAACCCCAAAATAATGGCAACTATATTGGTTGCTCATGTACAAAAGTGTGATCAAACACTATTGGGAGTGGGGAAAATATGAAAAGTAAAATAAAAATTATTTTTATTCGTTTCATGTTAACAGATGACACTTAGGGAGGCTTACAGAAGCTTAGTCAATATAGGTATAGGAGCTGATGTCATTCCATGACAAGCAGTACTTGATCTTCTTATGCTGAGGAATGTGAAACTTGGGTTCTCTCGGTATAGTTGGATGCTTCATTGACCTTGTATACAAAAACCAAGACACGAATGAGACATTTGGTTACAAGGTAAGCAAAAGAAGACGAACACAAGGACCAATTCTTTTGTAGAGAAAAATAATACATGTATGAGACATATGGTTACAACGTAATCAAAAGAAGACAAACATAAGATCAATTCTTAGGTATCTCTCCACAGATTTGATTATTTTGGAAGCAAAGTGAAGAAATACAAGGCCAATATAGTGGATATGCAAGGACTAATTGAGCCCAAACAAAGTCCAAGGATACCTCTAAATATACTAGCAACAAAAAATAAAAAGTCATTTTACCTCCTAGGTATGAATGGTCTGTCAAAATAAGGCATAGGTTGTGCTTTTGGAATCAGTTCCTTTCTAAGCCTTCTGATTTCTTCCTCTTCTGCTAACTGTATCATGGAGGAAACAACAGCGAACAAAACTATGAGCGCACTTAAAACTTCGAAGTGAAAGGATATAAGAAAATACGAAGAAATCAGTAATTGAAGAATACACAACCTTTTGTTGTCTCTCCCTTTCCATCTTGTATTGCTCTATTATACTTAACTTCTCTGCCACCTACATAATTGTACAATCATCATGATTTTCAGGCTAAAATGATGTTTGAAATGTGAAAAGAAAAAATAAAGCCTAAAAAAAGAAAAGATAAAAGTTTAAACAGATGAAAGAGAAGGCACTGATTTTCAGGCTAAAATGATGTTTGAAATGTGAAAAGAAAAAATAAAGCCTAAAAAAAAGAAAAGATAAAAGTTTAAACAGATGAAAGAGAAGGCACCTGGTGGTCAAAGACAGCTCGGTCAATGGCCCGCAAATCACTGTGAAGCTTCAGATCAATAGGCCTGGTACCTTCCTTCACCGGAGGCTTTATCAAGCACTAAAACGAATTGAAAGCAACCTCATCAGCGACAATTGAAGCAAATCAAACTTTATACTCAATCTTACATAGTAACAAATGTAGGACCTATACCTCTGGTTCATCTGTTGTCCAAGGAAGGCCTTGTGCAATAGGTATCCTTTGCTTTTCTTCTTCGGTCATCATCTCTTGCACCTTCCTCATAAAATCTTCCTCCTTCAACTTTCCCCTTTGCTGCAGTGATAGCATTCCGTTATTAGCAATTCAAAGTCAAGAAATTTTTTTTTTTTTTCAAGTTTAACAACGCAATCCTATTTCAGAAACAAAAAAGCAAAAAAAAAAAAAAAAAGAAGAAGCAAATACAACAATTTTTGGAAGTCCCGTGACGGCATGATGGATCACCAAAAAGAAGAGCTTAGACATGCACGGAATAAAGATAAGGAAAAAGGATAGTATCACAATTGGAATTATAAATATAAAAAAAAGAGTGAAGAGCCAGAGATGTCGTCTTAATATTATTTTGTTGTGCATAAATAATTTGAACATTATAATTTCATAGTTCATTATCATACCATTTTAAAGTATAACAGTGAAAGATGATTAGAATATAGTAGTTATAAAAAAAATAAAAAGATTACTAGAATATATCAATGCTCGTCTTGTATTCGTTAATAGAAAATCTAACGGATTTGAGTATTATTCATATGTGTGTGATATGTATTTTCATAGTTATAGAAATGTGAAGGTGCCATATTGTTCCCTTAATGATTCATTGATTCAATCCCACAACTTACCTCTGTTCTCAGCTTGAATGGTTTTTGGCTCGTGACTTTTAGCTGCTTCTTTTTCCAACTCCTTCTTCCTAAAGTGCTGGATGATGATTCCAAGCTCTGAAATTCATCCATCAAAGTTTCGAAACAAATTAGTGGGATAGGATTGTTAACCAATCTGTCTGCATCGCTTACATGAAGAACTAAAATCTTACATTTCTGCGGCTCCTTCGACCTCCAGAAGTTCTGCTCGATATACTGCAGATTAAGAATAGATAAGAACAAGCATTTACACAAAAATGTTGAGCCGTATGTTTGATACTTCAAAAACCAAACGTATCATTGTTAGATATTACATGTAAGATTGTATTTAAGTATTCAATATTTAGTTGAATCGAAGTATTTGTGTACTTATAACTTAGAAGCTTTCTTTCCTCTGACTGTACACATGCTTCGTAGGTTAATAATAGAATGCGCAAAACATTTTCACAAACCTTCCACGGCTGCTATCCCAGGAAGAAGAAACCGAAATTTGGGGATCCAAGCCTAGATTCTCGGACGTCAAAATCAACTGAGATGGGCAGAATGAAGAAGAAGAATCCTCAGCTTCAATTTGTTTAGGAGGTTGCAATCCAGGCAATGCCCATTTCATCGCCTTCTTAGTTTCCTCTGGTTGCTTCTCCTCCTCCTCGTTCTGATCCGAGTCTTTTGACTTAGGTATTGACCGAAGCCTTTCGAACGCCTTCACCAAATGCATTACTCGTCCAGATCCATTCTCAGGAACACTGTTCCTTGCATCTTCGAGCAACTTGTCCCTCCTCCGTTTCACCGTAGAACTTCCTACTTGATTAGGCGACTCCGTCTCGTCGGCGTCAGCTTTTTCCAATTCACAAGCCTCTATCTTCCCTTCATACTCATTGTCTCCAATTCGAAGGTCTTGGATCATCAAACTCATTTCTATTACTTTATCAAGTTCACTCTCTGCCCTATCATCGGTCTTAGACTGATCCTGATCTCCACGATTCTTAAAGAATTCTTCCTGTGACGCCCTGAGATTCTCGTATGCCACACAGAGACACTTCTTATGATTCCCTTCGTATTTGTCTTTGCATTTGCACGTAACCATCGAACCTCCATCCTCTTTCTTCTGATTCTTCTTCGCCACCACGAACTTCCTCTGCCGGATCTTATGTTGCGGCGAATAGATTACTGGATTAGGGTTCTTCGATGCTGATTTCTGAGACTTGGCCGATTTACTACTGGAGAGTTTGACGTGACATTGGGATTGGTATTCTCAGAAGATTCTTTATTCTTTGACCTAGGGCCTTTCACCGGAGTGATTGCTCCAACGCTCCTGCTCGCCAGTTCCATTGGAAATGCACCGGATAACGAAAAGGCTTTTTGTGAGAGAGCAGGGATAGAGAGAGAGCGAGAGACTCTATTTGGTTCGATCGAAAACTGAAGCAGGGATCGAGTAAAAGAGGAAGTGGAAAATGGGAACGTTAAGCTTTGAGGCGCTCTCTGTAACGGCTAGTTTTTGTAGGTCAGAACGGAGAAAGCGCAGGCTTATTCATTTAAACCATTATTTGGATCGTGGGCCGTTGGATTAGCGGTGCGGAGCAAGACGCTGATTGTTTATAGGATATCTGAATTATTTATTTTTTTCCAATCTAACAAACCTCCCCCATATTTTGAAGGTAGAATTATCAAGAAATCTTGAGAAAAAATTTTCATTATTAAAAAATCTCAATGATAAGTGATCAATCTAAATCTGTTGTCATTTCTTACTTTGAAACTTGTCATTACTTATTCTTCACTTTTCAATAAAATTTAAGATAATTAGATCCCATCCTTAGGATCTGATTGTAATTTATAAACTTGAGAATTTAGATTATTGATCGTCACGACGGGGATAGGCGAAAAAAAAATAATTACTTTTACTTGTTGATAGTCTTTAGGGTAATTAAATCTCATCCTTAAAACATGATTGTAATTTATAAAATTGAGAATTTAGATTCCTATCATCATGACAGGAATAGGCAAAACAAACAAATATAAAAATAAAAGAAAGTAATTAAAAAACAATGTAAAGCAAAACATTTTAAATTCGATTTTTCCTTAATTTCATTGTTTTGGTTTCTACTCCTCATTTTCATTTTACTACCCTGTTTTTCATCTTTAAACTAGTGTTTTGGGTTATGAAAAAAAAATGGTGTTTTCATTATATTTAATTATAAGAAAAACCAGAGTGAAACTAACATATAGTGACCGAGTAACTAAATAAAAGGATAAATTTTTAATTCCTTTAGCCAATCTAAAATTCAGTTATAGAGCTTTAAAAAGTTTTACTCTTTTTTTCTTTTATAATATATAACTTCTAAAAGTTTCAAACATCAGTTTGGATTTTGTTAGAAAGTTCAAAAGTTTGCCCCAAAAAAATTAAAGCTCCGAGACTTGTTTTAGTTGGTGTTCATTTTAGGATCGAGACAAATTAAGTTAAACTTAATTAATTGAATTGGAATGTGGAATCTAAGGAGTTCTAGTTATACAAAAATGTAAACTAGATTGAAGCATAACCAAAGGGTACAAATAGGAAACGGGCATCAAAGAAGAATCACATAGAAATGGTTTTGAAATGTGAAAAGAATTGCATGCATTGAATGATATATTTACAAATTTAAACACAGAAAATGACCACAAGAAATAGAGCTAAAATATGAGTGAAGTGGTGTCTCCTAGCTCAAAGCAAAAGAAGATTGGCAATTCTGAATACCAAAACCATTGAATTTTCCTAGAGGTCATAAGATAAACACTAGTAATTACTACTTCCAATCTTTAATATAAGAGTTAACTTGACATTTAATTTGATTTTAAATATAATATCCACATTCACTTTGTCTTTTATTTTTAAAAAGTAATCATTATATTAAATTGTTGTTTTAGCTAAGACATATGATTAGCAGAGTATTTTAAGAAACGTAACACCGATTTATTAGTATATTTATTATAAATAATCAACTAAACAAACTTTTTTAATTTACTTAAATTAATCAATTAACTCTTATATTAAGAAGCAGCTAGTAGTATAGTGCAAGAAGCATTGCCTTTACCCTCACAAAGTTAAACTTTAATAAATCAATTCAGTCACTTTTCCAGCTTCCCAAGCTGGGGGCCAAGCGAAACATAAATAAACAAAACATGACAGGGATTGAACATTAATATGCTGAGTGGTGTTTTTGCTACAGAAGATGCCAGGAAACTTATCCATAGTCATTGATACTAGGAAAGAGGCTCTTCCAAAGAGAAATTGCATGCAAAACCAAGAACGACAAAACTAAGAGGTCGATCAAGTAGCGAGATCCATGTAGCTGTCAGCATATAAAATTATTAACGGACAAAATTTTCTTCCACAAAGGGCCCAACCGGGTTCGAACCGGTGACCTCTTGATCTGCAGTCAAATGCTCTACCACTGAGCTATGGACCCATGTTGTTGGCGAGTGACAATTAAATTTTTTTATTAGAAAATACCCGACCTGAATCCTGAAGTCATTCCATTCGATGGCCTCATCATTCCAAACAACTTTACAGGTTCTTACCGGGTCATTTGAAATGATTTAACGTCCTCGAAGTTTATGGGTTTAGTTCATTATTGCCAGGCTCGTTTTTGCTTGATTTTCCTTTCTTTGAAAACTTTTTTATTTCATTTCGGATTTTTTTCCAAATGATATTCCAGTGATGAAATAACTTAATAATTTGCGTATGCTGTATTAATCTAGCATGTAAATTTTTTTTCCCCCCTGTTACAAGGGGCGGGATCGAACTCGTACGCACACACCCCACACACAGCCATACCACTAGGCCAAACGGCCGGTAATCTAGCATGTAAAATTGAAATCAACAAAATCCGTCGACCCTTATTACAACATTCTTTCTAAATTTTACAAAAAGTCCAATCATTATAGAAAAATATATTTTTTGCCAAAGCAGAAAAGATAATTAGCAAACTTATAGACAGGATAAAACCTTTCATTAGTAACACATTTTTCATATATCACTCTAAAAATCAGTTATTGTCGTTGATCATCTCCCCGCCTTTGATCTCCCTGGCTCACTTGGCAACATACACACATAGGCATGCACACAAGAATCAGACCATAATTGCATCCGCCATCTCAAAATATTTGTCCATACCCCAACACAGCAAATCATGCAGTTTTCTGCTTTTCTTCATTGTCTATTGATGACATTCGGTTTCACAAGACTACATATCGTCACCGAATAGCCGTTGAAGAAGGCGTACCAAGCATATCAAAATATGATATTGAGAATGGTAAAAAGGAGACATCCACTTCACTGTACCTATTGTACAGTCCTCAGGACGGTTTCAGAAATTCCACCTTCATCATCCACCACCAAGAGTCTACAAAAGGGTAACCAATACGTTCAGCTTATTCGTTCATGTAAAGACTTGAGGTCTCTGTTTCAAATCCATGGTCATTTGATCGTGTCAGGCGTCCAACATGATCATTCCATTATTGCTGATCTAATCAATGCCTACTCTCTGTTTCGCCAATGTGGTTTGGCTCGAACAATATTTGATTCTATGGCAAACCCAACTGTGATTCTATGGAATTCAATCATTAGAGCTTATACTAAGTTCAATCAATTCCAGGAAGCAATAAGAATGTATCATAGCATGCTAGAAAATGGGCTCGAACCAGATAAATATACATTTACCTTTGTTTTGAAAGCGTGTACTGGCGCTCTAGATTTCCACGAGGGAGTTGCAGTTCACCAAGAAATAGCATCTAGGCTGCTAGAATGTGATGTCTTCATTGGGACAGGTCTTGTCGATATGTACTGTAAATTGGGTAACTTAGATAGTGCGAGAAAGATATTTGATAAAATGCCAAAGAAGGATATTACGTCTTGGAATGCAATGATAGCTGGCTTATCTCAGAGCTCAGATTTTTTTCAGGCTCTGGAAATATTCCGGAGTATGCAGATGGAGGGGTTTGAGCCCGACACAGTGAGCCTCTTGAACCTGGCCCCTGCTGTTTCTAAACTAGCGGATGTTGATGCTTGCAAGTCTATTCATGCTTATGTGGTTAGGAGATCTATGTCTGGTTCGGTTTCAAACTCATTGATTGATATGTACTCTAAATGTGGTGAAGTGAATGTTGCTCGTCAGATTTTTGATCAGATGTGGGTTCAGGATGATGTTTCATGGGCAACAATGATGGCTGGATATGTGCACAATGGTTATTTCCCTGAGGTTCTTCAATTGCTAGATAAAATGAAGCAAAAAGATACCAAGATGAATAAAGTGGCAATTGTTAGTGCTCTCTTGGCAGCTGCAGAGATGAGAGACATGGAAAAAGGAAAGGAGGTCCATGACTATGCTTTACACCAAGGGGTGATTTCAGATATCACTGTTGCTACTCCTATTGTGAGCATGTATGCAAAATGCGGAGAGTTGAAGAAAGCTAAAACACTGTTTCTGAGTCTACGTGGAAGAGATTTGGTTGCTTGGTCTTCTTTTTTATCAGCTGTTGTCCAAGCAGGGTACCCTAGTGAAGCATTGTGTATATTTCGAGAGATGCAGCATGAAGGATTCAAACCAGATCATGTGACTCTGACAAGTGTTATTTCTGCGTGTGCAGAAATATCACATCTCAGATTTGGTAAGAGCCTACATTCTTTTGCTGTTAAAGCTGATAAGGATTCTGATATCTCAACGGCGACAACCCTTATCTCAATGTATACTAGATGTGAAGCATTTACCCATGCTATGACTTTATTCAATAGAATGGATTATAAAGACGTTGTGACATGGAATACTTTGATAAACGGATTTACCAGATACGGTGACCCATGTGATGCACTACAGATGTTCCGTAGATTACAGTTAAGTGGGATTCAACCAAATGGAGGAACAATAGTAGGTTTGGTTTCAGCTTGCACTCTTTTAGTTGACCAAGATCTAGGCATGTGTTTCCATGGGATAACTAAAAAGAGCGGATTTGAATCTGGCACTCATGTTAGAGTTGCTCTGATGGACATGTATGCCAAATGTGGTAGCCTTCGGTCTGCTGAGGCCTTATTTTTCTCAATCAAGCCTCTGAAGGATGAGGTATCTTGGAATGTGATGATTGCAGGCTACCTGCATAACGGATGTGCCAATGAATCCATTTCCACTTTCAATCAGATGAAATTAGAAAATGTCAAACCCAATTTGATCACTTTTATCACCATCCTTCCGGCTGTCTCATCTTTGTCAATGTTAAGAGAAGGCATGGCTATTCATGCTTGCATAATCCAAATGGGATTTATGTCCAATACTCTTGCTGCTAATAGTATAATTGACATGTACGCTAAATGTGGGCAACTTATTTATTCTGAGAAATGTTTTCATGAGATGGAAAACAAAGATATTGTTTCATGGAATTCAATGCTTTCAGGTTACGCAATACATGGGCAAGCTGACCGTGCTATTTCTCTTTTTTCACTTATGGAAGAGACTTGTGTCCAAGCTGATTCTGTTTCCTTCATTAGCGTATTATCTGCTTGCAGACATGCTGGATTAGTTCAAGATGGAATGAACATTTTCAAAACCATGACCGAGAAGCACCATCTTGAACCAAATATGGAACTCTATGCTTGCATGGTTGATCTTTTGGGCCGAGCTGGTTTATTTGATGAGGTGTTGAGTTTAATCAAGAAAATGCCAACAGAACCAACTGCTGAAGTTTGGGGTGCTCTTCTGGGAGCATGTAAAATGCATTCTAATTTGACGTTAGGAGAGGTTGTTCTCAGGAAACTCCTTAGTCTTGAGCCCAGAAACCCAGTTCATTTTGTAGTTTTATCAGATATATATGCTCAATGTGGCAGATGGCCCGATGCAAGAATGACAAGATCAAATATAAGTGGCCATGGCCTAACGAAAAGTCCAGGATGTAGTTGGTTTGAACTGCATAAACCTTGTCCGTTCCTTTCTGGCATGCAATGAGATCCACCCACAAGTTGGTTAGGACTGAGGAAGGATGTATCTATTATAGAACAGCTTAACTAGAAATAGAGGAAATAGTTGTGTGCTTGAGTTTTTTTGTGCTGTTAGATGTGGATGAAGAGGACAGGGACCTGTTTCATTAGAGTCGAAGTTTTGCGACGCGTTTTGCGCAACGAGGTCCATTTAAAGGAAATAAAGAGGATGACGATCCTTTAGGAAGATGAAATTGTTTCATTATTGCTACAGTCGAGTTCCTCAGAGGGCAAAGGGCTATGAAGTCTATTTTGCTGATACGTCGGCTCTAGTTCTGAACACTGGTTCCGATATACTCTAGCTGATCAGGTCTCTCTCTCTCTAATTTGTTCTTGAAATTGTAAAGATTTTAGGCTGAATTTGTGGTTTTAAATATTTGAGTAGTATACATACTTGTGTTTGCTCATTTTTTCCCCTTATTTTAGGGGAGTCAAACACCAGTGCCAGTTTATGGAACAAAGGGCCAAGGAGCCAGAGTCTGAATATAGGTCCCCGCTCTAAAGGGTAACCATGTAGATGTCGTCTGAGTCTTCTTGATGTTTTAACGATGAGATATAAACTCATGTCATTTCAGGTCCAAAAAACAAAAAAAGCTCATGTCATTACTAACGAGACAGATTTTTATTGATATTTATTTATTTATTAATATTATAATGTTAGTAATCTGGCAGAAATAGTGTATATAATAGTCCTAAACTAAATGTGGCTTCCATATATTACAGAAAATTTGAAATATAAAATGCCTTGTTGTTAAATTTCTTTCTGTTGCGAATTTTATAACATATATGAATTTATTGATTGGGAACTCAGAAAAATATGATGTAAATAAATTCCCAATCATCCGTGGTAAGCGAAATAATTGAAAAAGTCCTTCTTAATAATAATTATAGTAGAAGAAGAAGAAAAGAAAAGAATTAAGGACCTGTTTGTTTCAATTGCATTGCACCTTAGAGTGCAATGCAGTGCAGTGCAATGGGATTGTAATGTAATATTAATTACAAAGATACTGTTTGGTTGGTTTTTTAAGAAGGGTGCAATGAGTTGTTTTTTTAATAATTATCTAAAATTAATATATAGTAAAAGTTCTATCATGCCTTTAGTAATAATTCAAACCCTCAAATGCTGGAAAGCTTTTTTAAGATTCTAACCCTATCGGCCCCATCATTCCTCTCTCAATGGAGGACAATTTTCTAATGGAATTAATGGTCTACCCTTATTCTTTGTGGATTCTCGCTTTATGGTTCTTCTCTCTTTGCTAAGACAATATGTAACTTTGTCCATCATTTTCAAGTTCAAAGTTGTCGCTTTGTGGATTTTTTTCCTATGTTATTTCTTCTTGCTATTTTGCTCTCTCTTTTTCCCCAGGTTTTGATTTCCTATTCTTTTATTTCTGCAACTTGATGGGCTTTTTGTATCATTCATATGAAGTTTGGATAATGACGAGCTATCAGCTTCGTTGGTCTGCGAAAAGAAAAAAAAATTTTATCAACTTCTAATGAAGTCCTTTGAAATTGGATGTAATGGGAAAATGGTTATCAACCTCATTGTGAAACTTCTGAGTTATGAAACTTCTGTGTAGTGGGGATAAATATTGTCTTTTTACCCAAGTTAGTGAGGACAGAATAGACATTTTATAAAAGATTGCATGTCTGCAATGAGTATTCATAAGGGGTCCCTATGAATAGACATTACCAAAAAACGTGCGATCTTTATTATTGGTGCAATCTTTTTTACCATCATTAAATCCAACCAAACAGATTATTTATGGTAATGCGATGAGGATTACCATCACATGCTTGCAATGGCATTGAACCAAATGGGCCCTAAAGTCTATAATAGAACTGAGCTAGCAGGCAATAACGTTGACAAAAAACCTTGATTCCGGGGTTTTCTAGTTTTTTAAATAGAAAACAATTTTATTAAATCTAAATAAAACGATAACATGAAAAATACCGGTCAGTCGTAAGGCTGCATCCGCCACCTGAGGGGAAGGCGCCTATCAAAGCAGCAAAGAATCGCTGTGATGAGCACCATCTCCGAAAAGAATCCATTTTGATCTACTCTGTGTGCCTGATCTCGTTCCATGTCGCTTACCACGACTTGTTCCTCATATTTCAGCTGTAGTTCTTGGAAAATGTTTTCGGATTTTTTGTTACGGATATATCGGGAGAAAGCAACAGAACAAACTTGATGGCCGAAGAACTCATAAGCGTAGGCTACGTTTGTGCTAATTGATTTGAGACAAGAAACTCTACGGACATGAGGGTAAACTTTGTCAGCAAATATTAAAAAGATGATGGCAATTGCTGTATGGCTTTTAAACTCATTCGCTTGTCTTCCTTCACCGACAAAATCCAAAAGTTTACAGCTTTTCCAATTCCCAAGTCCTTGTTTTTCAATTTATTTAAGGATTATAGTTGTTCATCACCTCTTGGCCTTGATCATTGCGTTGAGGTCGATGACCTCTCCCAGCTGTACTATTCAAACTCATTCTTCGCATCTATTATTGATAATTCTACCCACAAGAGACATCTGAATCAAGTCCATGGCCAATTGGTTGTCTCCGGATTGCAACACAATGGGTTTCTCATGACCAAACTGGTTAATCGGAGCTCAAATACCGGTCAACTTGGTTATGCACGTAAGCTGTTTGATAAATTTTGTAACCCTGATGTGTTTATGTGGAATGCTATTATTAGGGCTTATTCGAAGCATAACATGTTTCAGGATGCCATAGAAATGTATAGATGGATGAGATGGACGACAGTGGATCCGGATTGCTATACTTTTCCTTGTGTACTGAAGGCTTGTACTGAATTGTCAGATTTTGGTTTGAGCCGGCTAATTCATGGTCAGATTGTCAGGCACGGGCTTGGGTTGGACGGTTTTGTGCAGAATGGCCTTGTAGCATTGTACGCCAAATGCGGTCACATTGATCGTGCGAGGGTGGTGTTCAATGGCTTACATGATAGAACAATTGTTTCATGGACTTCCATTATTTCTGGGTATGCGCAGAATGGGAAAGCTATGGAAGCATTGAAAATGTTTGATGAGTTGAGAAAAACTGATGTAAAACCAGATTGGATTGCTCTGGTGAGCATTCTAAGGGCTTACTCCGATGTGGAAGACTTGGAGCAAGGAAAATCCATTCATGGTTGTGTCATCAAAATGGGTCTTGAAGATGAGCCCGATTTGCTTATCTCACTGACTGCTCTATATGCAAAATGTGGGCAGGTGACAGTTGCAAGATATTTTTTTGATAAAATGGAGATACCGAATGTGATAATTTGGAATGCAATGATTTCTGGCTATGCAAAGAATGGTCATGCTGAGGAAGCATTACTTCTATTTCGTAATCTTATTGCAAGAAATAATATTAAACCTGATCAAGTCACTGTGATGTCTGCAGTCTTGGCTTGTGCTCAAGTTGGTTCCCTTGAACTGGCACGATGGATGCATGACTACATCAGCGAGAGTGAACATAGAAGTGATGTTTTTGTTAACACAGCCCTCATTGATATGTATGCAAAATGTGGAAGTGTAGAATCTGCTCGTGAGGTGTTTGATCACATGTCTAATAAGGATGTCGTAGTGTGGAGTGCCATGGTTGTGGGATATGGGTTGCATGGTCGTGGCCAGGAAGCCATTGATCTTTACCATGCAATGAAGCAAGCAGGTGTGTGCCCAAACGATGTTACCTTCATTGGGCTTCTCACCGCATGCAATCATTCTGGCCTAGTAAAAGACGGATGGGAGCTATTCCATTGCATGATAGACTATGGAATTGAGCCCCGTCATGAACATTACGCTTGTGTAGTTGATCTTCTTGGGCGTGCAGGTCATCTAGATCGAGCTTGTAATTTTATCTTGAAAATGCCCATTGATCCTGGTGTAAGTGTGTGGGGTGCACTTCTTAGTGCTTGCAAGATCTATCGCCATGTTACCTTAGGAGAATATGCTGCAGAGAAACTATTCTCACTGGATCCATACAATATAGGGCACTATGTGCAACTCTCTAATCTCTATGCTTCTGCCCGGCTGTGGGATCATGTTGCAAAGGTTCGTGTGCTAATGAGGGAAAAAGGTTTGAGCAAGGACCTAGGCTACAGTTCTATTGATATCAATGGAAAGGTAGAAGTGTTTAGTGTAGGGGACAAGTCGCATCCAAGAGCCAAGGAAATTTTTGATGAGCTTCAGAAGTTGGAGAGAAGACTGAAGGAAGTAGGATTCGTCCCACATACAGAATCAGTTTTGCATGATTTGAATTACGAGGAGAAGGAAGAGAACCTCTGTTATCATAGTGAAAGAATAGCAATAGCATACGGCCTAATTAGTACTGCTCCTGGAACTACACTTAGAATAACAAAGAACCTTCGAGCGTGTGTAAACTGTCATTCAGCAACAAAGCTTATATCAAAACTCGTCAACAGGGAGATAATTGTTAGGGATGCAAAGCGGTTTCATCATTTTAAGAATGGAACCTGTTCATGTGGAGACTATTGGTGAATGGGATGACCTAGACTTCCTTCCACATTGGTAGCTTAGGATGAAACAGTTCCTCACACATGCATTTGGTTGCACTGAAAATATAAGAATCCCGATATTCATATTCTTGAAATGTCACCATCCTTTTTACTACTCTAAAAAATGATGCATCTTGGTTCTATTTATGATAGGTGTCAAACTGATTGGAAAAATGGACCTATGTTTCCAGTTAATATCCCCTTTTTTTATTATTTACTACTCTAAAAAATGATGCATCTTGGTTCTGTTTATGATAGGTGTCAAACTGATTGGAAAAATGGACCTATGTTTCCAGTTAATATCCCCTTTTTTTTTTTTTTGGGTCTTCATTTCCCTTGAAATTATATCTGAATTAACTCTAAAACGTAGTTTGTTAGATCAAACCCTCGATATGATTTAAAAAGATGCTTCCATGTCGTTTTGGTTTGAGTAGCTGCTGTGGCCTGTGTGCTTGGTAGATTATTATGGATGTTTCTGAAGAACCACCTGTTTTTTCTCCTATCTCTTCCAGAAATTCTTTATTTATAAAACGATGTATCTCAGGCACGGAAAGAGAAGAGAAGAGAAGGGAGGGAGGAGAAGGGAGGGTTTGTTTTGGGTTTGGGGGGGGGGGGGATTGTGCTATTATTGACATTATCAGTAAAACTAGATCAGATGCTTTTGTTTTGGAATCTCTTATAATTGCTCATCACACTATTTTATCTGGCCTGCGTGTCATTAATTATTGTTCATTTTTGTTGATTCGTTCTCCAACTTGTTTTTGAGTGAATTCTTTGGACAACTTCCGATCAGTTTTGTACTACATATCCTAAGTCTCTGTTCTGGCACCAGGCCATTATTGATTTTGAACATGACATATTTTTCCTAAAATATCATAATCATCTTTCTTAATACCCCCTCTTCCTCTCCTACTTGATTATGGTTGAAGGAGTATCCATAGGGGTAATTTAGAAAAAATTGATAAATATGGTAATGGGTTTTATATTTAGGACTAAAACTAACTCAACAACTAGGTCCTATATTAAGTACCGGAGGAGTACTATCAAATCGCTCAATTCATGAGATTTTTTGTGTGCATCTAGCTGGCCATATGAATTACGAAGGCAGGAGACTAACATGTCGGTATGGTGCTATGTCTTAATTGCTTTTCAGATTCTGATTTCGCTTAATAGGAATTTTGATCACATTTTACATCAGGTTTTTAATACAAGAACTAGTTAAAAATTAGATTTGGTCATAAATATAATATCTAAATTCATTCTGTCTTTCGAATTTGTAATTCATTTTCTAAAGTATCTCTATTAATTACATATGTTAAAGATTCTTATTTAAGAATAGTCATGATTAAAATGAGTATTTTAGAAAAATCAACTCATATTTATTATAAATAACTAACTTAACTAATTTTTTTAATATACTCAAATTAATCTAGTAACTCTTATATTAAGGATCAAAGTTAGTACTACCTCCGGTTCTTAATATAAGACCCTGTTTGACTTTTATTTTGGTTCTAAATATAAGACCCGAATCCATTTTGTCTCTCATATTTATATATATTTTTTCCAAAGTAGTCTTTCTAATAATGATAGTTCTAATCAACCACACTTGATTAATAATGATATTTTAGGAAAACAACACCTATTTAGGACAAATAACTAACTCAACTTACTTCCTTAATCTCTTCAAATTAGTCAACTGGCTCTTATAATTAGGACCGGAAGTAGTATTTAACTTGGGTTCAATTTCTCTCAAGGTTGTTTGAGGAGTAAAATTTTGAATCCTCTAAATTGATTGGATGGTATACTTTCAAGTTTGGTAGGGTTTATTGGAATAATCCTTAATTTCGACAAAGTTTACGATATTCCAACCGAAAATGTAATTAAGTTGTTGTGAGGTTTTCTAAAATGCCAATGGTCTAAAGCAGTATTAGATTATTTATTAGTTAGTATACATGGAGTGCAATAAAAATATTGCATTGACTTTCGTAAAAAAAAATTATTTATAGTTGATGGATAATGTAGTTATGTATTATTTTTATATTTTATGGGGGTTGGTTATGATTGTCATTTTCTTTGATTAATTCTATTTTGTAACCCCAAACATTACAATTAAAATTAAAAAATAATTAATTCTTGGTGTTATTTTTCTTTCAAACAAGCATGCTCTTACTATTATACTCCTTCTGGCCTCCAAAATTAAAGTCTATTAATGGTTGGATTTAATCCTAAACATAAGTTAGTTAAATACCTGTTACATTAAAAATACGGGAAAACAATCTCACTTTTATGTTTATTTAACCAAGGATTCATCGGTTTATGACTTCATGACTATAATTACATCATTTGTAATATAATAAGAGATGTAACGATATTTTCTTAGGTAAAATTTTAATTTTCTTTTCAAGTATTTAAAGGTTCAACATTTTTTTGCCAGCTTTTAAAGATTTAAACTAAACACTAGAGCGCAGCAAAGTCAATAATTTACTAACAGAGTATATTTAAATTAGATAGATTTTAAAAGATGATGCTTCAATCATTCAACGTAAGAACAAAAATGTGTTAAGGGCGACATGGAGAATTCATCATTAGCCAAGGACAAAAACGTGGATTTAGTCAAATAACGAGAAAACAAATGATAAGGTGGTGGGAATCTGCTGCATCCGGGAGTATTTTAGGCAACACGTCATGTCCACTCTCTTCCTCTAAACGGTGTTATTGAGCGACGCCCCACGGAGTATACTCGGAGAGACGAAGGCAGAACTCTCCGAAAACCCATTTGGATCCCTCCTCTCTCTGATCTCTTCCCATGTCGCCGACGACTTGCTATTCTTAACCTTTTCCGTACGCCTCTCAACGCACTCTCTTCTCTTTTCAATTCCGATCTCTTCAGCCCATCCTGTCTCTACAACAATCTCTTTACGAGAGGGATTGAGAGCTTTGTGTGAATAGTTGTAGTCTGTATTCAGTAGTTCCCGATGGCAGCACCACCAGCAAGGGCTCGTGCCGATTACGATTATCTTATTAAGCTTCTCCTCATCGGCGATAGCGGTTAGTTATCGCTTCCCTTTCCGTGGAATGTTATTCTTATACCGCTTTCTGTTTGTTTGACCAGAAAATGGAAATGGCTTTTCAAGTTTTCAGATCTCATCCCGCTTTTACTTTGTTTTGAGTTTGGTTCATTACAATTGGTTTTGTAGAGAAAACGGGTCGGCAATATAATTGTCGGCGATAGGGGAGCCCCTCGTACTTCTTTTGGAGCTTGACTGTTTGAGGGATAACAGTGGGCTGTCGTTGAAACTTGGAACATTATTTTTATGTGGGATAACTAATTTATTATTATTACTGTAAATTATAATTATAATTATAAATATCGTCATATGTTACAGGAAAAGGAAATGTTTTATACGACAGTTGTATTTTATTGTTTAAAATTCATACCTTAGTGCGTTGCAGTATTAAGTTGATACTTACTGGAAACGTATGTATAGAATTTTTAGACAGACAATGGTTGGAGGATTACTCGTTATTCTTTACTGTATGAATCCTTTTCGCGTTTTCGTGATTGCTTGGGTTTTCAGCCATGATCAACTCTTGTTCTTATTCTTATACTTTGAGCTCATGTTATGACTTACAAAACGAGGTATAAAAATGGGTTCCCAAATTGCCTTCCTCGTGATGGTTCTGCTTCCCTAATCTGATAAAGGCTTCCTCATGAGGTTGGTAATTGGCGACCTGTTATGTTGAGGTTCCTACGTGCTACGGTATGCTCTTTAGGTAGTTCACATAAATCCATTGGTATCTCTGGGTCTTCCGATCATTTGAGATGGTCATATTCGGCATCTCCATTTATTAACCTTTCCCTTCTTTTATAGATCTTTGTTGTATGCCTGATAATTTCACTTCGGAGAAGATTTGGATTTACTTTCTATAACAACTTGAAATAATCGTTAGGTAATACACTAAATGAAAAATAGCTTCTTCTTCTTCTTCTTCTTCTTCTTCTTCTTTTTTTGAGCCTTATTGAAAACTCCTGGAAACTATTTTAGAGAAAGTATGAAAGCATGGGACACTTTGAGAAAAAGGTTAATTAGAGATGGTTATGCTCTTAATTTTCTTTTCGGATAATATATATTTAAAAAACTTCTATGAGAGGTGGAGGTATGAAGTTTGATATGCTTCTTCTGCGCCTTTTATTTATCAGTAACCTGTTATAGATTCTCTTTGGTCTAGATTTCTTGTGCAAAAGCTATTTGGTCTAATCTAGCGGTGAGGGGGTTCAGTAGCTTGCTAGGTTCAATCATTCTGCAGTTTACCAAAAATCAACTCTTTATTGGGAACATGGGTAAATTATTTGGAGTTGCTAATTATAACAAGTGTCCTGCTTTCTTTCAGTTGCTTTAGCTTGTATCTTATTTTTAGCCTTTTGGCTTAAATTACTACAGGTGTTGGGAAGAGTTGTCTGCTTTTGCGATTTTCTGACGGTTCCTTTACCACCAGTTTTATCACCACTATTGGGTCAGTATCCATAGAAACTTCTCTCCCTTCTTTTTGTAGGGCAGTTTCTGTTGTTTAATTGTCTCATGAATACTTGAAAGAAAAAGTTGTCATTGTCCTGCTCTCATTATATTTGTGCCATGACTCATCTATAATTATCCTTGGCTTTCATCTTCTGAAAAAATGTACACATTGGCTCTTGAAATTTTACCAAGATATTTAGGATTGCTTAAGATTTATCTTATTTCTCTGTAACATGGTTTTGAAACCATCAGAGGAAGTGTTTGCCAAGATATTGACTCTTGAAATTATTGTCTATAGTCCATGGGGCTACAATTAGTGTAATTGCATAGTCATTGTCTCAATGTTGGAAACTGGACTCTCTGTATGTTCAGCCTCTCTCTATGAAGATACATCTGCACTGTGTTGTTTTATTGAAGATTTAAAATGTTATCATGATTTACTTTGTGGCAGCATTGATTTTAAGATAAGAACCATTGAACTTGATGGAAAGCGCATTAAGTTGCAAATATGGGATACAGCTGGTCAGGAAAGATTTCGAACTATCACAACAGGTTTTGTGTTCTGTCTTATGCAATAATTCAATTTATTCTCCGATATATGTGTTTTTGGATCCTACTTAACAATGCGACACATACGTGCAGCTTACTACCGTGGAGCCATGGGCATCTTGCTGGTTTATGATGTTACTGATGAAGCATCTTTCAACAGTACTCTCTTTTCGTTGGTCTCCTTGTTGGATGTCCAGAGCTGTTTCATGATATTTTAATCTAATGAAAATATTTGTTTCAAGGAATAGTTTTTGTACATTGGCCTTTTTAATTTATGCACTCAACTTTAGAGTATCATTTGTTGCCTTCTATTGGTTATGGCTGATCCTTCAATTTTCCTATCTTTCCTTCCTTTCATTTATTCTCACTCACTCACCCCCTTTAACAGTGAATTAGGTGGGGGATAAAAGATCTTTTTTAATCTTTATTTTCTGTTTTTCTTTTAATTAACATGTAACTTTTATTTTTTCATTCAGATAACTGGAATTCGATTTGCAGAATTGGACAATGTACTTTTGACATTGTTAGGATGTTTTGATAATATCTACTCTCTCTCTCTCTCTCTGTCTCTCTCTCTCTTCCTCTTTTCTTTTATCTTGGTGGTGTTGGAAGTTCAGATATATTTGGATAACATATTTTATATATCAGCGTTTTTTTTAAAAAAAAAAAAAATAGTGCACTCCTATTTTGAATATCATTCCTAACCTTCTATTGTTCACGATATTTTGTCATCACTTTCCCGTTTCTTCTCACCCCTCTCTTATTAGCATTGAATTATGTTGAAAAATAGAATCCATCATTTTTTTTTTTTTACCTTTCTTTTAATTCACACGGACGTTACTTTTTGCCATTCAGATATTAGGAATTGGATTCGTAACATTGAACAACATGCGTCTGACAATGTAAACAAGATACTTGTTGGCAACAAGGCTGATATGGATGAAAGTAAAAGGGTATGTAAATTTGGCATTTCTTTCCCTCGTGGTTATTACATCTTGGACTGGCTGTGCATAACTACTTGGTGAGCAGCTTATGCATGACTTGCATGGCTGACTCTCTCTGCTCAAACCCCATTTGTTTTTTGGAAGAGAATGTCATCAAGGGTATTTGTGTCTTAGTGACAAAATGCTAGGGGATAACTTCTTTCTGTTCATCTGGAAGGCAAATGCTGCAATTCATAGTACCCTAGGACTTCTAATGGAGTAAGATTTTATTTTCTTCATGTCTAATAAACAAGAAAATCTTTGATTGCAACCGATGAAATGAGAAAGTATTCATGAAGGAATATTCAGAAGATAGACTAAAGAATTTTTATTTTTTTTTTTTTTTCTAATATCACTCAAAACCAGAAGCAGGATTTTTTTTGCGCTGAGCTCTTGTCTAATTATAAAAAGATCCATCCAATATTGAGTATTGGTTTTATGAGTACGTGTACATCTGTGCTCTAGTTATTTTTCTTTTAATATTAACATATAATTCCTTTATATTATTTTAGGCTGTGCCTACCTCCAAGGGTCAAGCTCTAGCTGATGAGTACGGTATCAAATTCTTTGAAACTGTGAGTAGCAGCGGGCCTGTTAATGCATTCCATTGAAAACATGCAATTCTGTTATATTTATATTGTAATTATGCCTGCAGAGTGCAAAGACAAACATGAATGTGGAGGACGTTTTCTTTTCAATAGCAAGGGATATCAAGCAAAGACTCGCGGAAACAGATTCTAAAGCTGAGGTAGGTCTCTAGCCTTTTTCTTGCCATTGATTTTCTTTTCAAGAAGTCTTACTCTGTTAAGTGCTTGCATGAAGAAAAAGAAAGTAGAAACAGGCCATCACATATTTGGTACTCCTCTAGTCTTTAATTTAAGACTTAACTAACTAATCTGAGTAGCTTAAGAATTTTAGTTAAATTAGTTAATATGATATGTTTTTTTTTCAAAACACCATAACCATCTTCCTTAATTTCTTTTCTTCTCCTTCTACTTGATTATTGTTTTAGGAATATCATTAAGGTTAATTTGAAAAAAAAAATTGGTAAACACGTGAAATAAGTCTTATATATAAGGGCCAATATCAATTCTCAAATTAGGCTTTACGTTAAGGATTGGAGAAGTACATGTCTCTTCTTTTATATGGATAGGTATATTGAAGTTTATGGGGTCTTTTTTATTTTTTGTTCTCAAATGTTGAGGAATTAATGCTTCTTGCTTAGTGTTAAATGTTGATCTACGCTTTTTTTACCCTGTGGTGGTTCAGCCTCAGACTATCAAGATTAACCAACCAGACGCAGCTGCCAGTGGAGGTCAAGCTGCGCCAAAGTCCGCTTGCTGTAGTTGAAGAGAATCACCATGCACAGTGGCATTCAATTGTCTGGGTGGTGGAGCTAATTTGATGACGCTAGATGTGAGCCCTTGTATTTGTCCCTGTATTTTTGGACTGCAAAGATGGTGTTTAAAAGTTAGTATTTTAAATTTCTTGCTCTTAGTTTGTGGAATCTGGTCCGACTTCTGACTACTTCATTTGCTTCGCCTTCCTCTTCCATTTGTAGTTCGACTATATGAAAAAGAAATATTTTACATAGATTACTTGGAAGCTTTTGTTAAGTAGATAGAGAGAAGGAGGAGATCAATGCTTGTTGCAGCAACATTGGAGCACGGCATTTTTATATTCCTGAAGGAAGTGTGGTGGACAAATAGAACGGTTTAAGAGTTCCGGTTCTAAACTATACATATGGTGCAGACCGGTGTTTTGCATTATTGCTTTGACCTCACAAATCTTTGACTCGAAAAGATCTGAATGAAGAGAGAAAAGAAAAGTATATTGGACTTTTGAAGGTGGATCCTATTTTACCCCTTGATTCACTCGTTCTTCTTGAAGTTATGCCCATAATTAGGATTCTTGGGATCCAAGACTTCAAAACCATATTGAATTTGACAAAAATAGGCATCATAGTTAAAAGATGTGAATCCATATCATTATATGAATTTGTGAAGGCTGGCCAAGCTGAATGATCGTTATGGGCGCCTTGATTTGACATTTTGACCAAGTGGACGCTTCAATCCTTTTCTTCTTAAAAGAACTAGAAGCAGCAGCTTTTATACAAATGCGCATATCGGGAACCTTATTTTTGAAATCCATACCTTAAAGCGATGTCATATCATTTGTATGTATAATTTTCATAGGTCAAAATTTGTGTCCTCTAAGGCGTGTAAGAGGCACACTATTCCATTTATGGTTATTAACATTTGGACGACATTACTTTTTAACATTTTTTTTAATCAAGGCGGCATGCATTAACGAACTAAGATAGATTATGAGTATTTCACCAAGGGAAATAAGATAAATTATAGGTAGGAATTGTTTTTTTTCTGCTAACAAATTATAGGTAGGATTGAAGTCATAATTTCTTATTCATTTGAAACTTTCATGCATTTGGATATGGGGGTGTTTGAAAGAATATTCAGAAACACTTTTTTTTGTAAAACGAGATAATTTCCTTCACATATTTATTTAGTATACTGTAAAAGCATTTTTAAAACCATGATTTAGTTTTTACCCAAACAATTTTCTATAAAGTGATTAGCCACCCTGCTATCCCTTTAATCTTGCTATGCAAAATTTACAAATCATGAGTGAAGTGTATTGCGATTGTTTCTCATTGAAGCTCAATCGCCATCGATCATCCATAGTGACAGTAATACCATAATTCTGATTCTGAAATTTCCCCAATTTATTTCGTATGCTCAAATTGAAAATTCTGCCCTCTTGTGAATATATAAACACCATAAATCTCTCTCTTTTGTTTCCCACATGGCACGTGGCTTGACCCCCTCATTATTTAGTTCTTTTTTTTTTGGTCAAACCCTCATTATTTAGTCCTTAGACCGCACCTTTTAAAATTTAAATAAAATATGCGCTGCAAGACACGTTGGGGGATTCTCTACTCGAATATTTTCTCATGGAAAGAAAGGTATTTTTATTTTTGAATGAACATTTTGTACTAATTCGGATATGTATAAATAATAATGTCCAAAATAAAATAATAAGTAATTATTATACATAAAATAATTAAACTTGAACTACGACTACATCTGCGCTCATCTTGCTATATATTTCTCTTTTTGTAGACATTTTGTTTATCTTGCGCTAAAATAATAGCAAGTTATGAATTAAAAAACAAAAAACTAATTAATAAAATAAAGTATAATGAGAAGTTAGCTCATTTGGTGAGCATAGGGCGTTGTTCGTAAAGTTTTGGGGTTCCGATCAAAATTTATATTTCATACTCCTTTTATTTCTTTTCTACTTATTACTCTTTTTTTTAAAAAAGTGCTTTATAGATGAAAAGAAATGGAGGGACAATCAACATTAATATTGCGTATTTTAGAATGATATTTCTTAATAATAATAATAAGCATTTTATTATTTACCTTGACATATATATTCAGTCGAATTTTGGAACCTGCCAAAGTGAAAGTAAGAACAGAGCATAAGTGCTCGTTCCAGAAGACGGGGGAGAGAATAAAAAGCATTGGCATATATCGGCCTGAGTCTGCTGCCCATCGTAGCATTCAGTTCAAAGCGATTAGGGTTTTCTTCCAATTTCTCCTCCATTTCAGGTCGCGACAACCAACTTGGCATACGTCTCGCTTTGTTTCGTTTCCAGTTCTTCTTTTGTTGCTTCTTTTGTTTTTTGGTTTTTTTTTTTAATTTTTTGTTTTGACTCGATTTGGAGCTGATTAGCGGATTGAAAAGAAAGCTTTTTTGGTTCTTTATTTTCTTTTCTGAAAGTAACTTGCGAGCTCGGATTGATTCAGAGCAGCGATGATTGCGGACTGCTTTCACAGATTGTTGGATCTATTGGTTTTCATAGTTTTTTTCTTCCGATGGAGTTGACATTGGAATTTCTTGTTTATTTTGTTGAAGTAAGTTTATTGGGTTTAATTCGTTGTTCGATCATTGTTGGTGCTGATTAGTGTTTGGTGTCTGTTGGCATTGTATGACGCTGGACTTAAATGTCCTCTAATGAATGTTTTAAATGAATCAGCAGGGGTGATGGATATTTTATCTAGTCTTAAGGGTTGAATTGCCTTTTGTTGTGGTGCCTCCTGCTTTTCCTGTTCCTTTTCCTTCTTCATGTCTATCGTTTTTATGCGAACAATCTTTATTGTTCTTTTTCATCATCTTCGTCATCATTGTTATTTTACTTCATTTTAGCTCCTCAAGAAATTCTCGGCTCTTTTATTATTGAACTACTTCGTTCATTGATTTGTTCATGATAGGGGAGATAGATGTCTAGCATACAAAAGTACACTTGACAAGACACAGCCGTTCAACGTTGGTGATATTCCTGATCGTGTGGACTGAACCATGGCATGGTTTAGAGCTGGTTCCAGCATAGTAAAGCATGCAATCAGGAGAACTCTCTCTCAGGGTGGATCATCGTATTATGCAACAAGGACCAGAGTCCTTCCGTCACAAAGTAGATGCTTTCACACTACGGTTTTCAAATCAAAAGCACAAAGTGCACCTGTACCTCGCGCTGTACCCCTCTCTAGGTTGACTGACAGCTTTTTAGATGGGACAAGCAGTGTCTACTTGGAGGAGCTTCAAA